ATTCGAGCTCGGTACCCTGGGATTTCGGACGAAATGGTCAAAATGGATATTCTGACTCCAAATTTTGTAAATATGCTCTCTATAATTTTCTCCGATTTTCTCCGAATTTTCAGCGAGATTGGTTCATTTTCCGAGGTTCTGCGAAATTTTCTCCATTTCTCCGAATTTTTCTACATTTTGGTGAATAACCCCAGTAGAGAAGAAAAAGGAAATTGAGATTGAGATCAACTGTATTTAGATCCCAAATCTTTGATGATAATTTCCCTTTTGATTTTTACATTGTTCAAAAAAATTCATTACGGAAAACTGACTGTTCGACCAAAAATATGTTATTCAAATGTTTATAAATACATGTCAAAATAAATCTTTGATAGGTCCTACAGATTTTCAAATTTATGCTAATTTGTCTTGTTCAATAAATAATTTATTTGCAAAGCAAGAATAACATTTTAAAAAGCTTAATTTAGAAAGCTTATTGAGGTATCGTACCCTTCCGTGAAGAAACAAACAAATAAATAAAGACCAAAAGTCGTTGCGAAAGGTGGCATCATAAATTATGCGCACAGTCCAGTTTCTGTTTCACACTTGGTAGATGAAGGACAGCTGGAACATGTTGATCCCTGCTCATAAATGGGTTGATTCATGTAGTTTCCTCTGAAATACAACTGTACCGATTCGATGGTTGAAAAATCAACTTACGGTGGCTTGTATTGGCATACAACCGTTATCTTGAACATGTTGTTCATTGAAGAATCTCGTCCACAGTTCTTGACTCCACATCCAATCAAACTAGTATTTGCCCACGCCATTTGAGTTGCATGTCCCACTCCACTGTTGAAAAGAGCACTGTTCATGGTATTGGATGTCCATCCATTATCTTGGAATTCCTTTTCCCATTCTACACACGCAACTGTTCCCTGAAACTCAAGAGATGTATTTTGTATGCTTTTTTGGTATCACATATGTATCGAGTGAAGAAACATTGCCAGAAGTCCACGACCAATACAAGTTTTCTCCGAGTCCACTTGCTCCAGAATGACCTTTTGGACAGTCGTTTGCATAGTTTTGCGCAGATGTGGCAACAGAATTGTCCCAAACCTGAAAATAGTATTTTTTAGGTTTACTACGTTACCTAAAATCAACCATTTTTCTCATATTAGATGCAGAAGGCTTTTTCGATCCTTTCGCCACATAGGTTCCTTTTGCAATTGAAGATCTCAATTTGTTGTGTGCATCAACTATTGCTTGTGATCCATTAGAAGTGAATTGAGCATATGAACCTAAATATTAGAGGTGAGAAGCTTTTCAGAAAGGGTAGTGACCAAAATTACCAGTGATCACTGCAGTGAACAATAGAATAAGAGGAATGATTGAATACATGTTACGGTAAGTGGATTGATAGTTTTCAGCTGTTCTGTTCACTTATTTATAGAATTAATTTGAATAGAACAAATTGATTTCCAGAGCTGATCGCAATAACAATGACAATTGGATTGGTCAATTTTAATATTTCATGAATACGATTTTTAGACAACAACAACAAAATCCATCTGGATCAATTAAAAGTTTGTTGACCAAAACAAACTTATTCGAGAATGATTTGCAAAAATTTGGCATAATGTGATAAACAAGATTAGCTGTTCACAAAACAGATTCTATGAAAATTTAGAAAGGCTGGTTACCGGTTCTAATATTATTGTTGTGCGAAAAAATTGGAGTCGAGACGCAGGCAGTTGAACAAAAAAATTCTCTGCGTCTTCACCGAGTATGTGCTATTTAGGCTTGTCGCTTCGATGCGCCTACCGTATTCAGACTGCAAAAAATACTCTCTAACTCCATTTTTTTCGGACAACAATAATAGAAGGCTACTCAAACTGGTAACTTTGAGCCCATATACTTCGGGAACTGATGAGTAAAATCGTCCTAACTTTTTCTAGTTTCAGAGAAGTTACAGAACAATTCTGAATGGAGAAATAGAGTTAAGAGTCCCACCTGGAAATAAAGTAGCGAGCAGAGGAAATAACCGGAAGTAAAAGTTCATATTTATTTTTGAAATTGAACTTGTTTGCCCATTTGACCCTTACTTTTATACTGATTTTCTGTTGGTTAGGATACAGTTTTCAAACTCAAAAAACCCGAGGTGTGGCTAAAGAATTCGACAACGATTTTTAGGATCCCTATGTTTATCTGTAAATATCTTCAACAATGCAAATAGTTTTATTAGATAAATATGTTCAATCAGTGTTAATTCCTTCCTTCTCACACAATCCGAATGGACACTTTTGGTAGTGCTTTGGACATTTCGAGCAGGTTTTCCCCTCGTCGTAAATCGGCAGTCCTTCAATGTTGCCTCTGAAAATTAAAGTTATATCTGAGATTCATATGAGTACTTTATACTTTTGGAAGTAGCGGCAAACGACGACGAGTGTTTGATCAGGAGCTCCCACGGAGCACTTCGAGTAACCACATCCAACTTTACTTGTGTCTTGCCAAGCCATTTGAATAGCATGTCCAATTTGGAATCTTTGAGCTGCTGAATTGTATATCAGAGAGGTCCATCCGCTTATCTCAAACTCTTGCCACCATTTTTGAGGAGCTTGTGTTGCCTGAATTGAAGGAATACATGGAGCATTGTAAAACATTTTACGTATTCTTCCGGAGTGCTGAGAGTGGTCGAGTAGTGCCAGAAAATGTTCTCACCTAGCTGCTTGATGTCAGAATGGTTTTTTGGACAAGTTTCCGCAAAGAGTCGAGCTGCGGTAGCTATTTTATCACTCCAAGACTGAAATTATATTTTTAAATTGTTTAAAGGAGGCCAAGCACCAAAAAAAGTTTTCCTGATATTTTGCATAGAGAACCCCCATGAGGGGTTGAACTCATGACATGCAGCTCAGGGGTAC